GAATAAACATGATTACATCGTAACACATGAAAAAAATAACAAGACAGATGGCAATTCATGATCATAAGAGTTTGCCGGATAATGAAAGTTTAAGATATATTGATATTTGGGTGTATCAAAAACGTAAGTTTTGAAATATCAAAATTCTTCTCATTAACTAACCGAATTTACACTGTCCGTAGAATTTTCGAGACCTTTCTCTTTATATCATGCAATTATTAATATCATGAAATTTGTTGGAGCAAATGATTGGTTGATATATGCCATTATGCGACACGTTCGCATCATCCGATATCAACGTTATCGTGTAGTTATTACGCAAGGTTGGCAGCGCAGACAAAATTCTTAAAATTCGGTAAGGTCAGGTTTAGGGTTAGGTCATGGTTAGAATATTGAGAGAGGCATTTTGCATAGCAAAAATTATCCAAAGAAAACTTTTGTTAGAGCACAAAAGGTGGTTTCTTATGCTGATTTTTGAGCTATGAACGATTTTTTAAAGAACGTTTGTTTTGAATCTTCCTGATCGTACTACGTTACACCTAATCTCGAAATCTGATTCGTAGCTCAGGCGTAGGGATCGGTTATTTCGGTTAACCGTTTTATGACTTGGCTTTATCTTGTGATCCAGTGATCCAAATCGGATGATTTTGGTACCATTCGATTCGTCACATTAAGACGAATCGAATGGTACCAAAATTATCCGACTTGGATCACTGGATCACAAGATGAAGCCAACGATCATAAAACGGTTAACCGAAAATGACTGACGTACCCATCCCTATTCAGGATTCAGGATTTTAGGTAGCTGTCTCAAAATTTTTTCCACCCCTTGTAATAACGACCAATCGAATTTCAAGATCAGGTGTAACGTGATAGTCAAAACAAACGTGTTTTGTTTTTCTAAGTAAAAAGTTACGTGCAAAATTAAAGTTAAGAAAACCGCGTTATAGTTAGGGTTAGGACTAGGATAATGTGACGTTTACGATTATTTTTCATTAGACCACAGAAGGCGGTTTCCTAATTAAAATTTAGAGCTATTCTTGTTTTTTTGCTTCGTCTCGATTTTCACGTTTCACCTGATCCTGAAATTCGATTGGTCGTTATTACAAGGGGTGGAAAAAATTTTGTGGGACAGCTAGGGGCTTTCTATTCAGGAGAGCTGCGCCACCAACCTTGTACACATTTTCGGTATGCAATTATTACAAGTCGTGGTTAGTTAACTGTATTCTAATTTGGAATTGTTGTGTTTACGTAATAACATACAAAAAAAAACAAGAGCTTGCACGATAACATGTGATTGAATTTGTACGTGTATAATTAAAAGCAATAGTGATGTAATAATTACTTAATATATATTATGATTAATTATATATTTACATATGTACGTCAAAAAGCACGTCATCCTTATACAAACTATAAAGTACATTCCGGACTTTTCCTGGTTACTTTCATTTACTCATATCCGGTATCGCCGAAAATGAAAGGTAATTCAGAAAAAAGAAATAGTATACTGTATTAATAGATATTTTATTTGATTCTAACAAGAAAGTTAATGGCTCTATCAATTCTTATAAGTAGAAATTCATTGAATTTAAAACTGCATATGTAATTATAAGTCGTCTGCATACTGTATACCCTTTTTGTTAAATTTATCTACAATAAGAATTTTAAGGTTCATTATAATAAAATCGGTAATTATTGGTTTAATTGATTATGCCCAAAAATAATTTGATAGGTACGTACTGTACGTTAATAACAGATACTGGATCCTTTATAGATAAGGATATAATATATTTAATTTTATTGTTATTGTGATCCAATGTTTTTTTTTTATCTTATCTTATCGATAAATTTTCGTTATCATGAATTTTTATCGTTATCCGTTCCGTTCATATAATTAGTTTCTCTTATCTTATCAAGTAATTCTTTGATGTACAAAAAAGTGTTTCTTCGGAATTTTTATTGTTTTTAGATGAGATCTTTATTTGACTTATCAACGATAAAAGTTTCCGATCTCATCTAAGTACACGTACATATGTATGCACATGTGTTTACATACGATTTTCTTTGACGTATCACTATCGGATTTCTTAAACACGCAGCTGCATGATGTTATGTAATACAAAGGAATCTCTAAATTCGCGCTTCTGGGATTATAAGCTATGTTGATACCGTATAGCGCTGCATATAGTACCATGCGTGACAAATAATTTAGATCAATTTTAAATCAATTTTTTAAAATATTATTTATACGGTTGTGATATATAATACGTGTGTTTTTAATTTTTCACTATTTAAAAAATCGTGTCACACCGGGTACTATATGCAGCGCTATACGGTACAAGTGTGCATTATATGAGTGTTTTCAGAATTCACCACAGAGTTTTAGGTATATACCAGAAAATCAGTATGATGAGTAACGCTAGTTCAGATATTGTTACAAAAAATTCATTCGCTTGACATCAATCAGAATATTTAACGATCAAAAATTTTGTTGATCTATCATTTGAATACAGTACGTGCTCAGCACTTTAGTGGGAATTTCGATTTATTATGATATATTTTTTTATCGTACACTGTAATGTTATAGAGTGCTTGTAAATGATGCAGATGTTTTGAAAGAAATTCAAACTTTAATGATATATATTTTAATAATAATAAATAATTCAAAATATAAAACTTTTTAAAACTATTGAATTAGTAATTTTATTTCAGTTGATATTTTTTTAATGTTATCATAATAATAAATTACTATCAAATTACCATAAAATTATTACATGATTGTTATAAATTACTCTTTCCGCACTCCACACTCCAAACTTTAAACTTAAACCAAAAGTGTTTATTGATTCTACCAATAACGCAAAGAAACTTATAGCCAGACCTAAAGATCATTGAAAAACCATACCCATAAAAAAATATTTGGTTCATATTATTCAGATAAAAGAAAAACTATGTATAAAAAATATATATGTTTTAAGTAAATTGTTTGCATTTTCTAGATTATCCTAAAACATTATAGTTATCCTAAAACATTATAGTCATCCTAAAAAAATCTAAATAACTGTAACCGAAATATGAATGGGTAATCACAAAAAAAAAAAAAAGATTACTATTGTACCATATAGGAACATATAGCAAATTACAAGGGTAATGACATAAAGATTCATACCTACAATTCTTCTATTTTAATATTAATTAAAAGAAAAAAGAAAGAATAAAACTTATTTAAAAGCCGTTGCCACCACACCAACCTGTTGTCGGTCAAAAACCAATTCACTAACTCTTTCTTTAATAACCCTATTTCCGACACCACCTATACCAAATGCCGGACCAATTCTAGCAATTCTGGTAATGGTAGTTTTGGCGTAATTCTTTGCCAAAAAATTAAACCTAGAAGACCAACTAATACCAGGTCTATTATATAAATCCAAACCAAGTAAATGTAAAGCACAACTAACGATTTGAACAGCAGCAGGACATAACATTTGTGAAAAGTTTTGAGACGTTTCATAGTCCAAAAAATATTTTCTATCATAAAATTCACGAGCCAATACTGATGGTAAGTTAAAACTGGCTGCAATAGTGAGAGCATCCCTAGTGGCGAATAAACCATAAGAGCCTAAAGGAAGACCTTTTGGTGCAACAATACCGAACATACGAGTAAAAGCTCGATCTTTGTATATACATGTTGTCATATTAGCTATTGTAGTGCCCAAAAATTTTGGGGTTTGATTATCCAGATTTGTGTAGGAACATATAGTGTCTATAGCGTTGGCAGTAGTGTAGGTAGCGCAATAGACGCCAAAAACTAAAAGGAAAGCAGGGGTACGAACGAATTTGTGAGGACGCGTGAATAGGTCGGCGAAGCCACGTTTTAAAGCTGCTCCTAATTTGTTTCTACCACTTGCATTTTCTATAATTGATCTATTTCATAATTAAAGTATTAACAAGATATTATATCGGCGAGTGAATATACAGTATTGACAAGTTTGACAAGTGGATGTAATTAGAAGTGGATAAATTGCATTAACAAATGAATATATGGTATTGGTATTAGCAAATGAATATATTAACAGTTAACAGATAGTAAAAAATGAAAATAAAAAGATATAATTACCTATCAACAATTGTTATAAAAGGAGAAACACCAAAGGCAGCTGAAGCGGCCGAAAATAAATCAATACCAAGTCGTCTAGCAAGTAAATCTGAAGGTTTATTTTCTTGCATTATTAAAGTTGAATAGTGTGATCGTAATTCTTTAATTGAATAAAATTGTCATATAATAACTTCGATCATTAATGATCATTAATTATAGTTAATTAAATTTTGATCTCGTAAAATGTTTTTTAAAAGATTGTTGAAAACGCGTATCCAAAAAAGATTTGAAGTGACTTGAAGTTTCTACACAAAAGATTTACTCAAGCATTGAATCATTAACAAATTTCCCAAAAATAAAGATCCAAAAATAAGAGGTTCAAATCATTATATATAAAAAAAAAATTTTTTTTTTGCTGTCTCGTATCTTAAATACAAACCAAAGAGACCAAGTGGATAAGCTGATGACTTTTTCTTGTGTTCTATTATGCAAACAGATCGTAGATCATTTACGTATAATACTATTGATAGTACTTCGTGTCGCGTGGTTATAAACCAGTTATAATTATTGGCGGTGTACTCTGTGAAACAAAATGGGTACAAAAATGTACAATTGCTTTAAAAAGACTTAAATTTTTATTTATTTAAAGAGTACAAACATATGGGTACAGGATACACAGCCTTTAACCTGCTTTTTTCATGCGATCAGATAGGGAATGAAAGTGTAAGATCATCTATCTTTTATGTTACTGCTGATACCTATCTATATATCAAGTGTGATCAAATGATTATCATTACAATATACCATAAGATAGGTAATAATAGTAATTTACTTAACTCTATTTAGTGTCCCACGTGCCCAAGGACAATCTGGTTTATTTATCGTTAGTTACCTCAATATTGTTTTAGTTATATTGTTAAAAGATGTACTATACAGTGATAATTATAAGTTAAAAGATGTACTATACAATGATAATTATAAGTTAGAAACAATGTTATCTTTATTATCGTACGATATGTATATAGCTTACTATAGCATACTGATATGTTGTAGCTTGCAGATATGCGTACGTACCAACATATACCCTAATCCTTAATAGGGAACATTTATCAAAAATTGCTCTATTTGGTGGCTCATTTTGCAATACCGATACTTTATCATACTCTAAATGGAGCTTATAAGTGCGTATGTACTACGTACACAATATTTATTAGACTAAATATTTATGATTTACGATAATCCAAATTTTTTTATTCTGAAAAAAAACAAACTGAATACTGATCTTAAAAATCAATTTATAGTCAGTCTAAAGTACTATGTACTGTATATCTATACACTCACTGGATTAGACAATCTTTTATCATCATTGTATAGCTGATAGTAACAGTGTATACTGCGCACGTACCAAAGTAAATACGTACGTACGTACGTACGTAAATAAACTTTAAGGTGTGGCGCTTATTTACGAAAATACTAATACGTAACAATTATGAAAAGCTGGCGTTAATTAAATATCGTTTTTAATGCCATTGTGGCTAAGGTAAAGTGTGTTGCCATTAATGTTATTTTCAGAACAGGGTGCAGGATAAAGCAAAACATTTCACCAGATCTCAGAACCATGAGCTTAATCGAATATGGCATAATTCGTATCTGTATAAACTGTATATATATAGTAATTATATTATCGCATAGTAACCGGATTAAAATTATATCATATCCGGTAGAACTGAATTAAATTTTTATTGTTACAGTATATATAAAATAAAAAGAAATTCGTATGTTTAATTACTTGTTAGTTACAATTAGTTTCTTTAAGAAATTTCTTTAAGAGCAAGCGATCCGGAAATAATAGCCCAAGTTTTCTGGTATTACGTTCATGTTTTAATAAGGCCGGACAAATTTAATCATTTTTACTAAAACGCACCTATAGTCTTTACCACCTATGTTGTATTATCTCAAAAATTGGTTAATTAATCGGTGTGAGGTGTTCTAAGTAAAATGCTCTACGCCCCCAAAATCCTTCCCAAACTTTAAATCCAATCTTAAATATTAGTTCTAACATAGAAAATCTGTGTTAAAAATTTACAGTATATACAAACATCTATAAAAACATATTAAAACACTGTTTATATTTTTATATTTTTTTGTAGCCAATAGAATTATTGTATTTTTGTTAATTTGTTTTTTATCTATGCTCTTCCCCCATTTTTATGAGCTATTTTATTTTTATGTTAAACAGAAAATCAACTTGGAGTGGTCTAATATATAATTAAAGAAAAAAAATGAATTTTAAAACTTTATTATATAACAGTAAAAAAAAAAAGCATACAAATTATGGCCATTCATGTTTTTTTAACATCTATATTTCTAAACCTACTATTTTATTAATGAAATCAATTTTTCAAATAAGTGTTGATAAAAGAAACCCAAAAATTTAAATATAAGTCATATTTAAATTTTTAGGTTTTTTTAAATAATTTTGTTATATATATAAAAGTTACTGAACTTGAATATGTTTATAAACTTTTAAACTGAACTTGAATATGTTTATAAGCTTTTAAAATGAACTTAAACTGAACCTAAACTTGACTTAAAAATTCGATATTAAACCTAAACTAAACTTTATTTGAAAAATATTTAAGTTTAAATTCAGTTTAATTTTGAACTAAACTTGAACTTGACTAAAAGTTCAGTTTAATTCAGTTTATAGAAATACTACTAGTTAATAAAATTAAATTATTATACTTTAGTTTAAATAAAATAAATGTTTAAATATCAATTCTTATTTACTTTTTAATATAAGCTAATCAGTGTAGATTAACTATGTTTGTGGCTCCGTGCTAAAATCGGTGTCGAGTGAGGTCTCTCCCAGGCCACACCAGATACTATGTAAATCAATCTATCATACAAAAACTTAGTATCTAAAATTTATATAATTTCACTTATAGTTTTTCGCGAAATTTAAATAGATGCACAATTCTAACGGTTTATTATTTTGGGATTAAATTTCGCAGAGCCGCTCTACAAGCAAAGTTACGAAACCATTTCTTTTTTAAACTTGAAGAATTTTACTAAGTTGACTGAACTAATTCTTTAATTTTATATTCAAATAAGAAAAATAACTTCGTACTTTGTCATTAGAGCTATAGTATTGGCCTCTGCAAAATTTTATCCTAAAATATTAAACCGTTAGGGCTGTGGATCTATTTAAATTTCGCGAAAAATTATAAGTAAAATTATATGCTATATTACAGTAAGTTTTTATAATACCATATCTGATATATAGTTTTGATTTACGCAATGTATCTGGTATGTACGTACTGTACATACGTTGTAACTATCATGAAGGTTTTGAATAATTAATTTGTATCACGAATCCAACAACAATAGTTAATAAAAGAGAGAATTTAGACAAGGGGCGATTTCATGTTCATTAGAGACAACGTTAATCTTTTATTTTAGGGTTGAATAAATATTTATGTACCTTTATATTGTTATGTTACATGGAACCAATGTCGACACAATAGAATCGGATTTTTATTAATTACCAAACAGTTATGAAAACAATGCTAACTAATACTAAAACTATACTGGTAGCGTTATTTAGGTATATAATTACTAAAGACATTAAAAGGTATTATTTTCTATTCTGATCTGTAATACGGAAACGGTAAGTCATATTGGCTGAGAATTTCGAAATCGGATGTACATGTACCGTTAGTTACGAAGTTGGTATTATTGTGAAGCAGTTATTGACAACTATACTATTTTTTTTATTTGTATATTTTATGTCATCAATTTAAACTTTTTTCTTACATCCCCCCTTTTTTTTTTAACAGCCATAAAAAAAAGATGTAAAAACAGTAATGACGTAAACTGTACAAATATGAGAATTTTTAGTGCAATCGTCAATAACATGGCTGCACAATAAAATTTAATATTTAATTAATTTTAGGGTTGGGTCACTTTAGATAAGGTTAGGCTAAGGTTAGTTATAGTTTATGATATTTTTATCAGAATTTTTAATTGTCGAGATTTTTAACTATCAGATGTTTGGATGTTTGGATTTTTGCGATCGGGATTTTTTGTCGGGATTATGACCTGTCAGGATTTTTGCTATCTGGATTTTTTTGTTGGGATTATGACCTTTCGGGCAGGGACACAGAATTTATGCGATAAGAATTTGCAAATTATGCGTGCGGTATGTATGAAATATTCGATTTTACTGATGATTAAAAATTAAAAGTGCGATTTAACAATGTTTACTAAGCAATTTTATCTCGTAAAAAAAAACTTACAATTTTTTAAATACTGCGCTCAACTAAACAAAAACTTATCTGTTTCTAATTATTTATTGTTAAATAATACTTTTTAATAAAAATTTGCTAAATATTGTGTTCAACTAAACAAAAGTTTATCTGTTTCTGATTTATTTATTATTAAAAAACACTTTTTTTAATAAAAATTTGTAAGCGTATCAGAGTAATTAATCTAAAAATAAAATTATTTGTAGTTAACGATTAATTTTTAAATTAAGTATCCGTTGTTGTTCTTTTGAACTATTAAAAATAGCAACATTCTCTTTCTAATTTTGAAGACGAATTTATTTTTGGTGTTTTAGTATACTATATAAATTAATATACTATTAGAATATCATAGTTTATTATACATTTTAAAATATTACGATACTAAAAATTTAAAACGAGTGCACATGATGCTAACGTAATATAAGTGAAGCAAAATTATGTGATTTAGTGTGATTTTGTTTAATCACACTAAATCACATAATTTCCGTGTCCCTGCTTTCGGGATTTTGACCCAAGCACATAAAGCATAACAGGAATTTGTTCTGATCGGCTATCTACTTCATATTGATACGTACGTAGAGTATTGTTATGCAAGTTTTTGCATGATTTTACAATACGTAGAAATTTTTGTTCAAATTAAACATATTGAAATTCTATAATGAAGCCTTCTAAAATATTGCTAGATTATTATTTAAAAGCTTAACTTTAATATTAACATTTTAATCAAACATAATCAAATGTTTTACCGACTTTATTAAAAACGATTCTGTCAGAAACAAAGCATATCAATAAATTTATAAAAATTTTATTATTTGATTGTTGCT